GGCACTGGCCAGGGACAAGCCAGAATGTTAACTCACCACAGAATTGTTTAGGGCCACAGAAATTTGTTTACTTACCAAGCGGCCACAGAAATTGTTACTCAGGGCCAGACTGTTACAGTGTTACAGAAGAAATGTACTCAGAGGGCAGACAGAATTGTTACTACTCAGCGCACAGACATTGTTACTTAGTGCCAGAGAATTGTTACTGCAGGGACACACAGAAACTTACTCAGGGCCACAGAATTTTACTCAGGGACAGACAGAATTGTTACTGAGTGCCAGAGAATTGTTACTCAGGGACAGACAGAATTGTTACGGAGTGCCAGAGAATTGTTACTCAGGGCACAGAAACTTTTACTTAGGGCCACAGAATTTTTACTCAGGGACAGACAGAATTGTTACTGAGTGCCAGAGAATTGTTACTCAGGGACAGACAGAATTGTTACTGAGTGCCAGAGAATTGTTACTCAGGGCCAGACAGAATTGTTACTTAGGGCCACAGAATTTTTACTCTCAGGGACAGACAGAATTGTTACTGAGTGCCAGAGTGCCAGAGAATTGTTACTCAGGGCCACAGAAACTTGTAAATTAGGGCCACAGAATTTTTACTCAGGGACAGACAGAATTGTTACTGAGTGCCAGAGAATTGTTACTCAGGGACAGACAGAATTGTTACTGAGTGCCAGAGAATTGTTACTCAGGGCCACAGAAACTTTACTTAGGGCCACAGAATTTTTACTCAGGGACAGACAGAATTGTTACTGAGTGCCAGAGAATTGTTACTCAGGGACAGACAGAATTGTTACTGAGTGCCAGAGAATTGTTACTCAGAGGACAGACAGAGAATTGTTACGGAGTGCCAGAGAGAATTGTTACTCAGGGCAACACAAACTGTTACTTAGGGCCACAGAATTTTACTCAGGGACAGACAGAATTGTTACTGAGTGCCAGAGAATTGTTACTCAGGGCCACAGAAACTTTACTTAGGGCCACAGAATTTTTACTCAGGGACAGACAGAATTGTTACTGAGTGCCAGAGAAATTGTTACTCAGGGACAGACAGAATTGTTTACTGAGTGCCAGAGAATTGTTACTCAGGGGCCACAGAAACTTTACTTAGGGCCACAGAATTTTACTCAGGGACAGACAGAATTGTTACTGAGTGCCAGAGAATTGTTACTCAGGGACAGACAGAATTGTTACTGAGTGCCAGAGAATTGTTACTCAGGGACAGACAGAATTGTTACTTAGCTGAGTGCCAGAGAGAATTGTTACTCAGGGGCCACAGAAACTTGTTACTTAGGGCCACAGAATTGTTACTCAGGGACAGACAGAATTGTTACTGAGTGCCAGAGAAATTGTTACTCAGGGCCACAGAAACTTTACTTAGGGCCACAGAATTTTTACTCAGGGACAGACAGAATTGTTACTGAGTGCCAGAGAATTGTTACTCAGGGACAGACAGAATTGTTACTGAGTGCCAGAGAATTGTTACTCAGGGCCACAGAAACTTTACTTAGGGCCACAGAATTTTACTCAGGGACAGACAGAATTGTTACTGAGTGCCAGAGAATTGTTACTCAGGGACACATAATCGTTGAATTAAAGAGTATGTCAGACAACATGCAGAGGAGTGGCAGAGGAGGCAATTTTTTAGGAGCGAGCAGACGTGGCAGCAGAGGAAGGGGTCGAGGCAGCACTATTCGCAGCCAGAGGCCAGTGCTCCCGGTGTCATCCAGCGGTCGTGTCTCCACCGACAACCCTGCCGTCATTGATTGGTTGGCTCGGTCGTCGTTTCCTCTTCCCAGGTCACCTCTGACACCTACAGCCAACGGTCGGTGGGTACGTCAGACACAACCGTTAGTTGGCATGGCCCGGGAGCAAGCCCACTGAAATCACATGTCCTCTACCTGCCCCTGTCCTTTGCTGTTCCCTCACCAAGCGAAGTATCGCATGCTGTGGGCTCAGCCCCACTGTACAGTGAGGAAGAGCTAACAGAGGGCGGTCAGGAACGGGGGGACATCGGCCTTTTCAGCAGCCAGGCGAAGAAGTACTGGCGAGGAGAGTGGCTCTGTAGCCGGTCTAGAGACAGGTCTGTCTCCTGACCCAGACGCAGCCGAGGGGGCTAGTAGTGAGGCGGAGACCGTACCTGATGATGAGGAGGTTGATCGCACTTGGCTGCCTCGTCGTCATCAGGCAATTTCTTCCGCATCATCAGGAGAAGGGTGCCAGCTTGGCAGCGAGCGAAACAGTCGGTGGGTTGCCCAGGAGGCAGCAGGGTCGCATCAGTGTCAGTGGAGCCAAACGGCCACGGAGTAGAGCACCAGCTCCACTGCAGCCTACCACCACGGCCAGTAGTGGTGCCGGTGCGCACGGAGGAAGTAGCAGTCAGCCAGTGAGGAGTAGCGGGGGCAAAGTTTCCTACTCGGTGGTGTGGCAATTTTTCGTCAAGCCGCCCGAGGAAGTAAACGTAGCCGTATGTCGACTATGTGGCCAGAAATGCAAGCGTGGCCAGGGGGCCCATGTTGGGACTACAGCGTTGCGTCAGCATATGCAGCGTCACCATTCGTTGGCCTGGGAAAACCGTGATAAAGATACGGCGGTTCTGCCTGCCCCAGCCCCCGCTCCATCACCCGCTCCGTTACTTGCTCCCACACCCGACGTCGTCAATCACCCTCTATCAGCCAGTCAAGGCTCCAACACCTCTGCTGAGGGGAGTTGTCGCTCGTTGGCATCTTCCGCTCGTTCAGATGCTCCTTCTCCTGCTACTCCTCTTCTCGGATTCCGTCAACAGTCTTTCTTGGAATCCGTTTCCAAGAGACAACAGTTTTGCGAGCACGCACCCGACCCGACGGTGCAAAAGCTGAACGTCCTCCTGTCCAAGTTGCTGGTGCTGCAGTCCCTCCCTTTCCAACTGGTGGACTCAGCACCTTTCCGAGAAATGATGGCTTGTGCCGCGCCGCGGTGGAGAGTGCCAAGCCGTCATTTCTTTGCCCAAAAGGCAGTGCCAGCCCTGCATTCACATGTAGAAGAGATGGTGGGCCAGTCTTTGAGCATGTCGGTCTCTGCCAAAGTGCACGGCAGCGCCGACGTGTGGAGCTGTAACTACGGTCAGGGACAGTACATGTCATTTACGGCCCACTGGGTGAACGTGGTGCCGGCACAGCCGCACCAGCAACTTGGACAGGTCACGACGCTTTTGCCTCCACGTTTGCACGTCCTTGGTCCAGCAAACATGTCCGCCTCTACCACCTCTTTTTCCGCCGTGTCCTCAGCCGCCACCCCCCAGTGCCAAGTCCCATTACCCGACCGGCATATCACATGTGCAGGGCGCAACGGTGTCACGCTGTGCTGCACCTGGTATGCCTTGGCGAACGTAGTCACACAGGGGAGGAACTGCTGAGTGTAATGAACAGAGAAAATCGACAGATGGCTGTCTCCGCGCAAACTTAAAATCGGAACCATGTTGACCGACAACGGAAAGAACATGGTGTCTGCTCTGCGTCAAGGAAGGTTGTGCCATGCGCCATGCATGGCTCACGTGTTCAATCTGGTTGTCAAGCGGTTTCCTAAAATCCACCATCCCACTGCAAGACATCCTTAAAATGTCACGTAAACTGTGCATGCATTTCAGCCATTCCTACACCGCAAAGAACACCCTCATTGAGCTGCAGCGGCAGAACGGAATTCCACAGCATCGCCTGATCTGCGACGTTGCAACAAGGTGGAATTCAACCCTACACATGTTAGACCGCCTTTACGAGCAGCGAAAGGCCATCACCGATTTCCTGATGTTACAAGCGGATAAAGGTACTCCCCCTGTGTAACTTAGATGTCAGCCATTGGCAGCTCATGCGTGACACCTGCCGCTTGCTCAGGCCCTTTGAGGAGGCCACGCTATTCGTGAGTCGGCAGGACTATGGGATGAACGACGTCATTCCTCTGTTGCACGTCCTGGAACAAATGCTGTTAACAATGGCTGGTCAGGGTGCGGTAGACGTGGCGCACAGATCTCAACGCCACATGACCCCTGTGGGGGCAGGACAGGAAGAAGAGGAGGAGGTAGAGGAGGACATTTGTGCTCAGGAATTATTGAGTGAAATGGGTGGTTTTTTTCCACTCAGCGGACAGGAGTGGAGGAGCAGGAGCATCTGGTAGAGGAGGAGGAGGAGGAGGAGACAGAGGACCCAGACGCACCGTGGCAGTATGCTGTGGAGATGGAGGCAGGGAGTCCCTCGCATTCCTTGGCACAAATGGCCCATAGCATGCTCGGTTGCTTGCGTAGCGACAGCCGAATAATAACCAACCATCAGACAGAGGGATGACTTTTGGCTGTCCACCTTGTTGGACCCTCGCTACCGGTCCAAAATGGTGGCCTTTTTCACACCTGCTGAGAGGAGGCCAAAATTACGTACTATAAAAACCACCTATGTAGTCAGTTGGTCTCTGCCTTTGTGCGCCAACGTCCATCCTCAGACACTGTGGGCCCTGTGCGCGCTCGCGTTCCGCTGGCATGGCAGCAGGGGAGGGGTGGGGGTGGTAGGAGCAGTGGCAGCTCCACCAGCAGCGGCTGCCTCAGTCTGCAGTCGATGATGAGTAGCTTTCTTCACCAGCGCAGTGAGGAAACTACTAACCAGCCGCAGCAGCAGCAGCAGCATCAGGTGGACCTGGAGCAGGAGCTCAAACAACAGGCTTGGGCCTACTTGGACAGCACCCTGCCAACCGAGGTAGACAATCCCCTTGACTACTGGGCAACGAAACTTGACCTTTGGCCCCAACTAGCTGAATTTGCCCTTGAAAGGCTGTCATGCCCGGCCAGTAGCGTGGCATCGGAGCGCGTGTTTAGTGCGGCAGGAGGTATTGTAACTCCGCGGAGGACACGACTGTCCACCCCAAGTGTGGAGAGACTCACGTTTGTGAAAATGAATCAGGCGTGGATTAGTCTGGATTTCAAACCACCAGTTCCTGACACAACTGACTAAATCCGCCATGAATCATGCCTCAAACATGTGCCACTTTCAGGTCTCCTCACACACTGCTGGTGTGTTGAATTTTTTGACATAGGGTGCTGGCAGATTACGGGCCTCCTATAGCTGCTGCCAGGCCCCTAATCTGCCATAGGCCCCTATATACCGCCTCCTCATGCTGCTGCCAAGTCCAGAGTCTCTCATGGGTCCCTGTACGGCCTCCCATTGCTGCTGTCTCCATCGCCACACTCTGCCATGTGCCACATTCAGGTCTCTTCACACACACTGCTGTGTGTTTTCAATTTTTTGACATAGGGTGCTGGCAGATTACGGGCCTCCCATAGCTGCTGCCAGGCCCCTAATCTGCCATGGGCCCCTATATACCGCCTCCTCATGCTGCTGCCAAGTCCAGAGTCTCTCAGTCGGGTCCCTGTACGGTCATGGGTCCCTGTACGGCCTCCCATTGCTGCTGTCTCCATCGCCACACTCTGCCATGTGCCACTTTCAGGTCTCCTCACACACTGCTGTTGTGTTGAATTTTTTGACATAGGGTGCTGGCAGAGATTACGGGCCTCCCATAGCTGCTGCCAGGCCCCTAATCTGCCATGGGCCCCTATATACCGCCTCCTCATGCTGCTGCCAAGTCCAGAGTCTCTCATGGGTCCCTGTACGGCCTCCCATTGCTGCTGTCTCCATCGCCACACTCTGCCATGTGCCACATTCAGGTCTCTCACACTGCTGTGTGTTTCAATTTTTTTGACATAGGGTGCTGGCAGATTACGGGCCTCCCATAGCTGCTGCCAGGCCCCTAATCTGCCATGGGCCCCTATATACCCTCCTCATGCTGCTGCCAAGTCCAGAGTCTCTCATGGGTCCCTGTACGGCCTCCCATTGCTGCTGTCTCCATCGCCACACTCTGCCATGTGCCACTTTCAGGTCTCCTCACACACTGCTGTGTGTTGAATTTTTTGACATAGGGTGCTGGCAGATTACGGGCCTCCCATAGCTGCTGCCAGGCCCCTAATCTGCCATGGGCCCCTATATACCGCCTCCTCATGCTGCTGCCAAGTCCAGAGTCTCTCATGGGTCCCTGTACGGCCTCCCATTGCTGCTGTCTCCATCGCCACACTCTGCCATGTGCCACATTCAGGTCTCTCACACTGCTTGTGTGTTTCAATTTTTTGACATAGGGTGCTGGCAGATTACGGGCCTCCCATAGCTGCTGCCAGGCCCCTAATCTGCCATGGGCCCCTATATACCGCCTCCTCATGCTGCTGCCAAGTCCAGAGTCTCTCATGGGTCCCTGTACGGCCTCCCATTGCTGCTGTCTCCATCGCCACACTCTGCCATGTGCCACATTCAGGTCTCTTCACACTGCTGTGTTTTCAATTTTTTTGACATAGGGTGCTGGCAGATTACGGGCCTCCCATAGCTGCTGCCAGGCCCCTAATCTGCCATGGGGCCCCTATATACCGCCTCCTCATGCTGCTGCCAAGTCCAGAGTCTCTCATGGGTCCCTGTACGGCCTCCCATTGCTGCTGTCTCCATCGCCACACTCTGCCATGTGCCACATTCAGGTCTCTTCACACTGCTTGTGTGTTTCAATTTTTTGACATAGGGTGCTGGCAGATTACGGGCCTCCCATAGCTGCTGCCAGGCCCCTAATCTGCCATGGGCCCCTATATACCGCCTCCTCATGCTGCTGCCAAGTCCAGAGTCTCTCATGGGTCCCTGTACGGCCTCCCATTGCTGCTGTCTCCATCGCCACACTCTGCCATGTGCCACTTTCAGGTCTCTTCACACTGCTGGTGTGTGTTCAAATTTTTTGACATAGGGTGCTGGCAGATTACGGGCCTCCCATAGCTGCTGCCAGGCCCCTAATCTGCCATGGGCCCCTATATACCGCCTCCTCATGCTGCTGCCAAGTCCAGAGTCTCTCATGGGTCCCTGTACGGCCTCCCATTGCTGCTGTCTCCATCGCCACACTCTGCCATGTGCCACATTCAGGTCTCTTCACACTGCTTGTGTTTTCAATTTTTTGACATAGGGTGCTGGCAGATTACGGGCCTCCCATAGCTGCTGCCAGGCCCCTAATCTGCCATGGGCCCCTATATACCGCCTCCTCATGCTGCTGCCAAGTCCAGAGTCTCTCATGGGTCCCTGTACGGCCTCCCATTGCTGCTGTCTCCATCGCCACACTCTGCCATGTGCCACATTCAGGTCTCTTCACACTGCTTGTGTTTTTTTCAATTTTTTGACATAGGGTGCTGGCAGATTACGGGCCTCCCATAGCTGCTGCCAGGCCCCTAATCTGCCATGGGCCCCTATATACCGCCTCCTTGCTGCTGCCAAGTCCAGAGTCTCTCATGGGTCCCTGTACGGCCTCCCATTGCTGCTGTCTCCATCGCCACACTCTCTGCCATGTGCCACATTCAGGTCTCTTCACACTGCTTGTGTTTTCAATTTTTTGACATAGGGTGCTGGCAGATTACGGGCCTCCCATAGCTGCTGCCAGGCCCCTAATCTGCCATGGGCCCCTATATACCACCTCCTCATGCTGCTGCCAAGTCCAGAGTCTCTCATGGGTCCCTGTACGGCCTCCCATTGCATTGCTGCTGTCTCCATCGCCACACTCTGCCATGTGCCACATTCAGGTCTCTTCACACTGCTTGTGTTTTCAATTTTTTGACATAGGGTGCTGGCAGATTACGGGCCTCCCATAGCTGCTGCCAGGCCCCTAATCTGCCATGGGCCCCTATATACCGCCTCCTCATGCTGCTGCCAAGTCCAGAGTCTCTCATGCCATTGCTGCTGCTGCCAGGAGGCAGCAGGGTCGCAGCAGTGTCAGTGGAGGCAAACGGCCACGGAGTAGAGCACACCAGCTCCACTGCAGCCTACCACCACGGCCAGTAGTGGTGCCGGTGTGCACGGAGGAAGTAGCAGTCAGCCAGTGAGGAGTAGAGGAGGCAAAGTTTCCTACTCTGCGGTGTGGCAATTTTTCGTCAAGCCCCCGAGGAAGTAAACGTAGCCGTATGTCGACTATGTGGCCAGAAAGTCAAGCGTGGCCAGGGGGCCCATGTTGGGACTACAGCGTTGCGTCAGCATATGCAGCGTCGCCATTCGGTGGCCTGGGAAAACCTTTAAAGATACGGCGGTTCTGCCTGCCCCAGCCCAGGGTTCCATTTTGTCATAGGGTGCTGGCAGATTACAGGCCTCCCATAGGGTGCTGCCAGGCCCCAAATCTGCCATGGACCCCCATACCGCCTGGTCACTGCTGCTGCCAAGGGCCCACAGTGTGACCTGGGTCCCTGTACCGCCTCCCATTGCTCCCACTCTGCCATGTGCCACTTTCAGGTCTCCTCACACTCCTGCTGGTTTCCATTTTGTCATAGGTTGCTGTATGGCCTCCCATTGCTGCTGCCTCCACCGCCACACTGTGGCTCCAAACACTGGTTTTGGCCCCGTGACTGGCCAAATGAGTGAAGTGTGCGGTGATTCTAAGATCGACGGCACTCATCTGCATGTCATACTGAGTGACAGTATTATTTCTCTTCCCCAGCAGGCTCCAAGGGCATTTAAATTAAAGGTACAGTGTTCTGCACTAATATTAAGTCTCTCTGAAGCCTAGAAACACCCTTTTTTAAGTTAAATTCACAGCGAATTTATTCGACTCGAATCGAATATTGTCCACGAATTCGCCGAATCAGTCGAATCAAATTTTTCATTTCTTCGCTCATCTCTAGCTATGATGTTATGAGAGGGGGCTCCTTTTCTATTGGCCAATCCTCTTTACACATCTGGTTTCTGAAGGTCTTGTTGACTGGTCAATTCACCAACTCATGGCCCAAATGCTTGTTCTGAGCTTGTTGCAGCTCTTCTTTTTGATGTGGATGGTTTAATAAAATCCCAAAGAACTCAGAAGATTGGCTTTTATAAATGAAGAATGATACACCAAGGCCACAAACATTTTGGGCTTCTGAGGTTAGTGAAAGTGTCCAGTGAGATCATATAATTGAAATCCAAGCCTAACAGCAATAATAAAGTACTTCAGGCAATAACACCATTAACACACTGTTTTAAAGAACAGACAATAGAACAATTCCCAAGATATCTGACTACTCCAGAGCACCAAAAATATGTGCACGTTATTAAGAGATGCATACACTGGCACATTGCCTTGTCTACAAAATACACTTTATTATCACTTCTTATGAATACTTGAATATTGTACAACATTTCCTTTTTTATCTCATTTTTCTACCTCTTTATAAACATAAAGCACTTTAGCTGTTAATGAGAATATCTGTAGACTATTATCTGAAGATGTTTTCTATAAGTGTATTCATGCTTTCAACTTTATATGCATGAGGAACAAAACAAAGAGATAGCTTTAAAGATCAGCTTATAAGGCTTTTAAAGTTTATTTTTTCCCCATACCTCAGAACTTACAAAAGCATAATTCAGAATCACAGCTGTACATATACAGTAAGTGTCCTTTTCTGTGTATTGTGTTCATTTCAAAGAGACACTCTCAGCTTTTCCTTTAAACCTTAATCAGGTAGTAAAGATGTTGATAAAAAAATAAAAGCTATATACATTGTAGGATCCAGCATTAATATATACTATAGTTATAGGTTTACAGGGGCATTCATATTCACCTTGATTAAAAATATCGATGACACTCTGTTACTGAGTTTATGCATCCAGTCTACTTTTTTGGCCCCTTCAGCTTCCCATCCTCTGTGGAGAGGTCAACAATTGTTGAGATACGATATCTGCCAAATAGGGAAAGCATTCATTTTATTGTGCTGGATTTTAAATTTTATTTTATTTATTACAGATTCATATATAGCTCTGTCAATTTGTACAGCGTTTTATATATTTATTGTACATTCACATCAGCCCCTGCCCTACAATTAACCTACCAGCATGTCTTTGGAGTGTAGGAGGAAACCGGAGTACCTAGAGGAACCCCACACAGGTACAGGGAGAACATGCAAACTCCAGGCAGGTAATACCATGGTGGGGGATTTGAACCAACGAGCCTAGTGCTGGTAGGTGGAAGTGCTAACCACATACCACATGCTTGTAGGATTATCTACATCAAGCGTATCTCTTTATTTATTACAGGCATGTATATCATGCTGACAATTTACACAGTACTTTAAATGTACATTCACAACAGCCCCTGCCATGAAGGTGCTTACAATCTAAGTCCCTTGTTTATACACATATACTAGGGCCAATTTAGACAGGAGCCAATTAACCTAGCAGCATGCGTTTGAGGTGTGTGAGGGAACCCACGCAAGCACATGCAAACTCCATGCAGTTATTGTCCTGACTGTGATTCAAACCGGGACCCCAGTACTGCTGAATAGAAGAGCACAACCACTAAGCCACTGTTTTGTAATTTAGGAAACAAAAATTAAAACACTTTACGCTGGATTTGGAGCAGAGCAAAGTGACTTTTTACTACTTTTAGTGATTAAAGTGTGAAAAAAAAACCCTTAAAAAAAAAAACCTTAAAAAAAAAAAACATTTTCCTTGAAAACAATGGTTATTCATTGCAAAGTGATTTGCCACCTCGTTCACCAAGATAAGTGGAATTTCACCTTGAAAGTGCACATGCTGTATGTACTCTATAAATGAGGGTCATTGTGTTACAAAGTATTTTTATTGATCACATCCAAAGTTTTGTAGCATGTTTTCTGAGGCCAACATAATATAGCTCTTACACAGTCATTTTTTTGTTTTACAACAGCAGATTAGGAAAAAGGCAGATTGGGGATTTGGGCAAAGCAGGCATGCGTTTTTCAACTGAAGAAAATTGCTCTGCAGGCCCTGCATCCATTCTCCCCTCACTGCAGTGAGGCTGAACTATTCTGTGTACAGACTCCCCCCACTCCATGCTCTCCCCATAGCAGCTGCCACACTGAGGATGAATCAGAAAAGAGCAGCAGAGGTTGATGGGACAGGTAGTCCCAAGGAGTGTACAGTCCATTGAAGTCAATGGGGCTTGGACTACAGCCTGCAGCTTGCCCTGCTCAAGAAAGGCGGAGAGAGCAGAACTTTTTCAGGGCAAATTCTTCAAGAGCAGTTCAGTGCAGTGCGGGAGAGATAGCATGAGGATTGCACTGTGCAATGCCATTCCTAAGAGAAGGAAACTGAGCCTCTGGAAGCCTAGAGAGCACAGCTGTGACCAGAGTGCAGAAGGATGGAGCCACTGCTGGAATATAGACCTCTTTGTGCTACCTACAGGAGTTGTCTTGGGCATCCCTGAGTGAATGGACACCTTAACAGAGAGACCACTTCTGCTGTGTCTTATGCAGGGTCCCTGTCGCCATTACCTGTTGCTACCACTAAAGACTGGGCTCTTAGGAACTACCTAAGTAGCTACATCCTAGCTCTATTACTGCCTGCAGGCTTTGTTGAGTCTAAGTGCGCTTATTGGGCCCCAACACTTAGCCGACTGAAGAGTCAAGACCAAAGACTGCCCCTTAACGCCTCTATCCAAGGTCTTTGTCCCTTTGATTAGTTGAAGAGGTACCTCTTAGGAGACACAAAACCATACCCTAGCCAATCCCTTAGAGTGCATTCTAATTCAGTATAGTATTATTATTCATATTACATTTAACACTTATTGGTACTGATTATTGATTTGCAGATTCACAGTGTGAAGCTCACAGTATGCAGTGAAATCAGAGTAAGAAATTGCAAGAAGAGGAGCCTATACAACTGTGCAAGAGTGGAAGGCTGGAATTCTACTGTCAAAGATCTCATAGCAGCTGTGTGTTTTATTTGAGAGATATATATATATATATATATATATATATATATATATATTTATTATTTTTTTTTTTCTTTTAAGGATTTGTGCTTTTCTTTCTAAATTTGTGGGCGTCTATCTACAGACACCCACACATAACAGCAAAGTCACGTCACACAATTTTGCCTCATGCAGGTCCATTAGTACTTTCCGTTAGAGTCATTTTAGTTCCAGCCTTTTATTTGCTTTCCTCATATATACATGATGTGTTGAAATCGCAGTTGAAGCATTATTTGTGTGAGCACAACAAAATTAAGTGCTTTCTGCTTTAAAACTGCATTTTAATGTTGCATAATGAAACCATCGCTGAATGTTCTTTACTTTTCAAAATGATAAAATACAAAATAAATAGGACAAGTACAAACATTTTGTTCTCGCGGTATATTTAAACATTGGCTGGGCATATTAAATACATTAAATTACAGCTTGGGGACAATAGAATAATGTGCTGTGGCTCTAAATTGCTTGATTCGGAGAGTAAATGGCAAAAATAAAGGCAGATAAGTACTCTGTGCAAACTTTTAGTGGCCTACGGCCCCTTTCGCGCATCCTTTTTTGTAAAGTCTCATTTGTACGCTTTCCATGTGTGTGGTTTGAATTGGGCATATTTCACTGCCTATAGGGAACATTATTGCACACAGTCATAATAAAATACTGATATCTACTCAGGATCTCACCGTCAGAAAGTCCTTATGGTGCCTTTTTTGTATGGTTGCAAAACCTGTGAAAAAAGCCCTGAAAGCTATGTGAATCATCATGCAGATTTTGCACTACCATGTAAAGTATATATTTTTTTCATAAGGTCACCCTGCTGCACAAAAACCTGTGAAAGATTATAAAAACACTGCGGGATAAAAAGGTAAGTAAATATAACTTTTTAATTCGGGTTTGCGTACTACAGGGGGTGATGTCACCAACCTTTCTGGTCAGATCCCAGGAATTGCAGAGTACGCAAAATCTCATGAGAAAACACTAGCACAGCGCAGTAGCAGCTTCTTGCGGGATTTCAGGTAATTAGCAATGCACAGGATCTTGCTGGAAATAATGGTGACGTAACTCACAAATAGGAGATTCGTTCTGAAACCTGGATAAGGTAAATATATCAACTAACTTTTTCCAGATCACCACACTCCTAACAAGCTGCCTGAGTGTCAAAGAGTAAAATTGGGTTGAGCCTGGCTCCATTCAGGCCACTCCCGACATGTTTCGTCCTGTATACAGACCTCTATAACTAAGTCCTGTGGGTGGGGTAAAATGCATCAGAGGGTGTGGCCTAGATGGAGCCAGGCTGAAGCTGATTTTACTCTTTGAAACCCGGGCTGCTTGCTAGGAGTGTGGAGTTCTGTTTCTTTTCTCCACATGTGTGTATCGAGCCAGGATGGGCTCTTCTCATGCACCTATACAGTGAGAGACACTGGAGTGCGCTGGATGGGGCCTTGGAGCGGCACCCACAGTTTTACCAGTTAATGGTCACAACAAACTTTTTCCCCTGTTTTTTCCCCTAATTTGCATAGAAGGAAGCTGTAAAAACAAAATGTGGACCTTGCATTTTTGGTGCAAAGTCCAGTTTAAAGTGGTTTTAAAGGCAAAATGCTTTTCACTCTAATGCATTTTCTGCATTGAGGTAAAAAAACTTTCAATGCCTGTACCTCTCCCCCTCCCTAAACACTTACCTGACACAACTCTTGATCAAGTGCTGCCTGACCCGCCGGTAGCCCTACGGGCTATACAAAGAGCAGCAGGAGTCATTGGCTCCTGCTGCTGTCAGTCAAAACCTGTAAGGC